TGGTGGTGATGGTGGTGGTGGTGATGATGGTGGTGGTGATGGTGATGGTGGTGATGATGATGGTGGTGGTGGTGGTGGTGGTAGTGGAGACAAGGTCAGGGTGTTCATGGTGGTGGTGGGTACCACCATGCCTGACCCTGGAGAAGTTCCTCTCATACAATGTCTCCTTTAACCTTCTCCATGGCTCTAGGAAGAGACTGCTTTTCCCATGGTGGTTCTGGAGACAGCCTCAGGGAGGCTGTTCTTTGCTAGCGGCACTCAACCCCAGCGGCTGGACCTCTGACCAGGCCTGGGTCCCCCTGCGTTACTGTGCTGCTGCCACAGGCACAGACTGGAAGAAGGTGGGAGGGGAAAGAAGGGAACTGGTTGGCGAGCCCAAGGGCCACGAGGCTGCCGCAGGACCCAGCACCAAGAGGAGAGATGTGGTCTGCTGTGAGGGGACGTCCCCTCGCTGCGGCCCAAGTGTAGCCAGAGCAGAGCTCCCCGCGGTCTGACTACCGTTTCATCCGTGTCTTGCTGTTGTCTGTTGTGTGCCCTTCCCTGCAATGGAAGGGTAGGGCCCCGGGAGGAGAGTGCGCTGGAGCATCCCAGGACTGCATTCTGCTGCATGCTGAATCTCTCTGAACTCTCTCCCCTTGACAGAAATGCCTGGAGCTTAAGACCAGCCTGCTGGCCCGCCAGAGGGGCACCCAGTCTTCGCTGGACCGCCTCCGGGCCCTCCTGAGACTGATACAGGGCGAGCAGATGCTCCAGGTCACCATGACAACCATGAGCCCCACCCCACTGCTGGCCGGGCCCTGGACCAAGCCCTCAACTGCTGCCATGCGCTCCACCCTCCAGCACCCCCAGGACCACAAGTGACCCCAGAGACCTGTCTTTGCGCCCACGGAAAGTTGCTGGGACCCTGCTCGTGTGACTCGGGGTTCTGTTGGCCTTAACTCATACACTCTATGAATTTCAGACAAAAAAGCAGATAGAGAACCAAGGAGAAGGAAAAGGAGCCAGACAAGCAGCCCAGAGCCGCGACGGGGAGGGGCACCCGTGTCTTCCCAGTCCAGGAAGGAGACTCCTGGCAGCCAGGGGGCGTGTGCCAGGCACAGGTGGCGCCCATCCTTGGGTGCCTGGGGCTGCCCCGGCTTCCGGCCCTCCCCGCAGCCCCACCCACACTTTCGGGAGCAGAGGCTGCACCAGGAGGTCGGAGGCTGCAGACTGGCTCTGCCTGGCCCTGCAGGTCCACCTGGAGCCCCCTGCCGGGAGGGCAAGCAGGCGCGTTAGCTGAGTAGTAGGGTAGTTGGGCTGGGCGTGGCAGGAGAAGAGGGTAGCAGATCTAGGTAGTCCTCCAGCGCCCGCCTCAGGCCGCCCAGGGTTCCCATGCCTGCCTTCCCAGACCCCCGCCGTCGTCAGTGTTACTAGGTTGAGAAGCAGCTGTTGAACTTGAAAGCCAGGAGGCGCCCGCCCGCCGCCTTTTGGACTCACTTCCCTACCGCTCAGTGTTTCTCTCGCGGGGCTTTGGGCAGGCTGGAGCTGCCGCCACGCAGAGGAGGCGTGTGGCAGGTTTCTCTTTTGGGTTGAATTGCTCAGCTTACAACGGGAGCCTTTTATTTTCTGCTTCCCAAGAGCCGCTCAGTATTCCAGTCCTCTCTTCTTGCCAGTACAGACGCGATGCCAAAAAATAACTTTACATTTTTGTGTGGCATTTTTAGTTGTGAGGTATTTAATGTGAAGGGGCCCCTGCTCCCTTCTCTGCGTCCGGTGGTCTCAGCCCTTGGGGTACGAAGGGGAGTGCCCCACCCTCTGCAGGCCTGGCCAGCCCGAGAGACCTGGGGGGTTTTAAAGAACTGGGGTGCAGAGTCGGGGAGTCCCCTCCTCTCGCGGCGTCCCAGTTCGCAGCGAGCTGAGGCTCCCTGGGCCTCTCCCCAGGCCTCCCGCTTCCTGGGTGGGCTGCGCCCGCTCAACTCACCCACCAGCTTCCTGTCCCCTCAGGGGACTCAGCACAACAAGATAAGTGTCCAGGAGCCCGGGGGCTCCGCCGCAGCATATCACATGGTGCCGAATGCATTGAACACGCGTGTGCGTGTGCGTGTGCGCGCAGCCCGGGCCCAGACGCACGCATGTGCACAGGCGTAGGTGCAGTGCCGGGAGGCTGGGAGCCCTGCAGCCTGCCCTGCCGTCCCTCTTGTCATTTCCACGTCTCCGGGAGAAACTGTGCTGTACGATACAGATCTATTTTAATACACTCAACACTGGGTTGAACAAGATTTTTATATTTTATTGATGAACAAAGTGAGCCGCGTGAGGCCCACGTCTTATGTGTTGGTCACTCTCGATGCCAATTACGCATTGCTGCGAGACGCGCGACCTAAATGTCTTCAGGTTCCTCTTCTGTTGGTTTGCTTTTCTTCTTGGATGGATTGGATCAGACCTTTTCTAAATGTCACGGGAGGATGTGGAAGGTTGGACCCGGGAGGGGTAGCTGCCGACGTGTCTTGAGACTGTTAGTTTTTTTGGACCAAGGAGGACCGTCCAGTGGATAGTGAGGATAGAGAAAAAGTGTTTGTCTTAAATATGCCGACGTAGTTTTCCTTCTGTACGATGCATTAAACTTGATTGATGATTTTAAAGTCCTGTGGTGTCTGTGCCTTTGGTGGGGAAGCCCCGGGGAGTTCCAAGGACAAAGGGTGACCGGAAGTCAGGGTCCTCCCCACACCTCATCCGAGGGAGGGAGGGACGTGGGAACGCAGGGAGCAGCTCGTGGGGTGCCCTCCCACCCGTTTCTGCTTCTCGGCTTGGTGGTGTCATCTGCGCTCCTGGCACATGCACCCCCACCGCCACCCTCAGGCCTCCTGCGGCTCACCCCTCACACCTTCAAAACAGCAACCGGACAGGAAGTCAGACCCCCAAGTCCAAGCCCCGGGTGCTGCAGGAGGCCTCCGGTCAGCCCTTGGGTCAGGGCCACTTGGGACCAGCCCCTGTGGCCGGCGTGCGGGTCCAAGGCCATGGTGACTGCTGAGGCTCTGGGGACGCATGGCCCAGGAGGCGGGAGGGCCAGACAGGGCTGGGCAGCCCACCCAGCAGGGGCGCCCGGCACGTCGTGCTGCACGGTTTGAGGGGCCCGGAGCTCATGTGCTGCTTCCCGAGCCCTGACCGCAGGGGTCCTGGCTGCCATCTTGGTGGTCTTCACGGCCTCTGTCCAGGCTGCCGCGGGGAGTTCTCTGCCTCGGGGACAGGCCGAGACCCACCATGCCGTGTCCCCAGTTCACTCTTGTTTTAGATCCTCGCCAGCCACCCCTCCCCTTGCGCCCCTGAGCTGCCTGACTCCACGTCAGTGGTGACCTCATGTCTGGATCCACACCCGCCGCCCAAGGAGCTCCCCACTCCCGGGCCTGCTGCCCCTGTCTCTGCTCCTTGGCTTCTCCCCTTCTGTGCACCAGACTCTGCCCTCAGCCAAACTCCGCATCTGCGCTGGTGGCCCACGCCTGCTGCATGGCTGTCCACACCGGCTGGGCATGGTCTCCACCAGCCGGGCCCCTTCCTGTCTCGTGGACCAGCCTTCCAGGGGCACCTTTGACCCCACCCCAGCGCTGGGGAACCCATCAGCTCTGCCGTCAGAACAAAAGCAGGGTAGGCTGCTCTCTCCGCCCACACCAGCATCGCCTGGTGGGGGCCGCTGCAGCCCACGCCAGCTGCCCCACCCCCGACAGCCTCTTCCCCGCCAGCAGCCCGTGCGATGGGGACTGGTAGTAGCCCATCACCCACACCTGCTCAGAGGAGCTACGCGATGTGAACAGAAGCAGTGGATTTGTGTTTTTTAAATGTGTTATGATACAAGACACATGGCCATAGATCCCCCTCAAAATCCTCCCCCTCCCTTTAATGCACTCATCCCACCGTTCTGTGCACTTTCTGCGGCAGCTCTGGAGTCCTCTTTCCTAAGTGTCTATGAGGTGTGATCACAGACCCAGCGACGGCTGCCGCCCAGCGCCATCCGATGCACAGGCTCAGAAACGCACGGCGCCGGCAGCCTGACTAAAGACACTGAGGAACGAGGACTCCAGAGGTGCTGCAGGAAGTGGCCAGGGCATGAGATGAATGTTCAGAGCACCGGAGAGTTGAGGGGGATCGTGGCAACGTGACTTTTAATTGTGATAGTTTTTTGTTTAAACATTCACCATATCTTATTTTTTAATTTTAAAAAGAAGGAAAAAAAATAATGTCAAGACATCACAGGAGAGTAACAATTATTCATACGTTACGTATCGTTTACCACATCTTTCAATCACACTTGTGAAGACCTTACTCTCCTTACCTTCTCTGTGGCCCGTGATCCCCTGGCCTCTGGTTCATTTTCTGCTCTACTTCACTCTATCTGCACCACCACAGGGCCTTTGCATGCATCGTGTCCTCGACCTGGCATGCGCTTCCCCACCCCCTGCAGTCCTGACTGGCTCCCCAGCTTTCTTTGGGACTTGAGGCTGCCTGCCCTGCCCTGGCCTGTTAGCTTCCTTGACTTGGGGCCTGTGGGTGTCTTCACTGCCCGTGTCAGCAGGGCAGGCATCCGTCTATCCCTGTAATCCACTGAATCTCAGCATCTGGCGCTCTGTGTAGATGGCTGTGAAGTAAAGGGAGACACCCGCTGGGGCTCAGGGGCACCTCACAGCAGAGGCCAGGGCAGCTCAACCTGCCCAGGGAGACTGGGCAGGGGGAGGAGAGGCCCCGGCTAGGAGCGCCTTGCTCCACAGGGCTCTGCACCCGGCCTGTGCCAGGGGCCCCAGAGCCCCTCCTGCCTGCCCCAGCCCAGCTCTCTCCATGAAAGCCTCATGCACCGCACCCAGTGGTCCGCAGATGACATCGGCAATGGGGACTCCGCACTTCCCCGGGGCTTCTGCCCGCTGTGACAGCAGCTGTGTTTCCCTGGGACCGGACAGATTGAAGAGCAGAACAGTTCTCCCCCAGTTCTGGAGGAGGGGGAGCGGGAGGAGAGCGACGGGGGGAGAGGGAAGGAGGCGACCCAGTGCCTTCTTGCCCAGGACCTGTCTGCACAACCCTCGCCCGGCTCTGTTCTCAGGCCGGTGAAGCACAGAGACACGGGACACACACAGCCACACAGCCAGGGGAAGAGCCAACCTGGGCCATGGCTTGGTGTCCCCGCTCCGGGACACGCTCCCTCTGGATCCTGGGCACTGCAGTGTACACAGGCTGGCAGCAGCGCCCACGCCACCAACTCTCCCACATGACTCCTGACGGCCCGAGGCTCCCGGCTGATTCACAGGAAAGGAGGGCCAGCTGGCCAAGCCCTGCTAGCCACGTCCCGGGTGTCTCTGTCCATTCACTGTACCTCAGGCCGGGTGACTGACGGACAGCAGACCGCTCCCGGTCTGGAGGCAGAAGCTGGATATCAAGACCGCAGCAGATCCAGGCCTGGAGACGGCTCCTCCTTGCTGCGTCCCTTGGGGACGGCAGGGCTCGGGACACCAACAGGCCCCCCCACCCCCCGACATAAAATTCACCGCCCCACTCAGCACTTACCTGTAAGTTCGGGATGAAATTATGTAAGTCCCAAGTCACCCAGCTACACTGATTTAAGGACGGAGTCACATGCCCCTGCCACGGTGGATTGGGGTGAGGTCTGCCTAGGAGTTTCACTCGCACACTTTGTAAGGTATACCCAGCTTGGAAGGAAAAGCCCGCACCAGGTGTGGTGATGTATGCCATAATCCCAGCACTCTGAGAGGCTGAGGCAGGAGGACTGCAAGTTCAAGGCCAGCCTGAGCAATTTAGCCCAAGCCTCTGCCCACCCTCCCTGAACTACCTTCTGCCTTGCATGTGATTTTAGTCCATTTTCTATGGCTATAGCCAGCTGACAGAGGCTGGGCACATCTTACAGAAAAGAAGTTTGGGGTTGGAGATATAGCTCAGTGACATAAGTGCCTGCTTGGCAAGCACAAGGTCGTGAGTTCTATCCCCGGTACAGCAAAAAAAAAAAGAAAGAAAAAAGAAAAGAAGTTTGTTCAGCTCACCCTTTTGGAGGCTGGAAGTCTGCAATGGGGCAGCCTCTGTCCAGGGCCTCCCAGATATGCCACAGCTGGTATGGAGCGGGGGAGGGAGACCGCACAGGCAGAGAGGCCAGGAGTAGCTGGGAGGAATGTCGGGGCGCTGCGCATGACACCAACCTTCTCACACAAGAACTAACCGAGTTCTTCTGAGTCCAAACCCTGGAGACCTAACCACTTCCTGGGGCCCCGCCTCTGAGAACTGCCACACAGGGACCCCCAGGGCATGGACAGAGCCGCTGGGAACCCCTGGGGACACAGCAAGCTACACTGCCTCAGGGATACTTGCTTCTGCGTCTATTTTCATAGATAGATTCTTGTGTATATACAGTCCTGGACCTATATATTCTTACATATATAGTCAAATTTTTATTTAAAGAATTTTTTTATTTAAAGATTTTATATGTACAATAATTCGTTTCATGCCCATCAAGTCACTATAATAAGGTTCTTTGTCTTCAAAATAGCCCCTTTTTAGATTGATTGATTTGAGACAGGGTCTCAGTATGCAGTTCAGGCTGGCCTTGCACTCACTATGTATCCCCAGCTGGCCTCAAACTCAAGCGATCCTCCTGCCTCAGCCTCCCGAGTGCTGGGATTACAGGAATGCTCCCCCACCCCAGGTCATTCTTACACACATTCTTGTACATATACATTTATGTCCCCCTCCTCCATTCAGCAAGCCCCTGGGGCAGGAAGGCCCCCCAGTTGTCTCTGTAATTGTGAGGCTTGAATAGACCCTGCCCGGAAGGGCACGGGAACGGGTTGCCGAGGGAGGAGGGGTTGATCCCGTCCAGGATCACGCGGCTCCCCTGTGGGACAGGAGCTCACGAGCCTCTGACCGTGACCTCCCCCTCGGGCTGAGGACTTGTTGCTGAGTGGTACCAGGAGCAGGCGCCCGGCTGTCTTTAGGGAAGCCTGCTGCGGTCTGCCTGCGGTGGACTCTTTCAGGCCTGGACGGGTTTCAGTAACTCACTGTGAATGTCAGCTCCAAGTTCCAGGCAGCTTGCCTAATCTCCAGAGTCGCTTAAAATCTCTGTCATTTCTGCACAAGGGAGCATTTGGACGTTTCTTCCGCACGTCCTGCCAATAGCAACACCCCGGAGTCCTCGCTTCGGGGTCGTGTTCCATTGTCTAAAGCCTAAATGAGCATCACCATCATCGTTTCCTCTCGCTGTGGAAATGACCGGGAAATTGCGCTTGGATACAGGCAGGGGTGACGGGGCCACAAGGCGTGGAGCTGCGACTCCACAATTATCGTTTGTAAAAGGAAAACTTATCCAAGAAGCCGCGGGAGAACATCTTGGGGCCACCTCTCAGAGTCGGAAAATTTGAAACATATATTTCACAGACGTGCGTTTTGCTGTAACCCTCTCTGCATAATGCATGAGATTTGATTTAATGTCACTGTTAATTCTGGTGTTCACAATGGTGCGCTCTTAAGGGAGCCATCATTTTTATTTCTTTCCCCTTTTATTTTTTTCCTCACGACAGGACTCTGAGGCCGTTTGGGGCTGAATTGTGAGAGCGAAGACGCCTCCCTGCAGCCGCTGGCGGCTGCTTCCCGGGAG